CCCGGGCCTGGGCTCCGCCGCCGGCGCCGCCGCGTCGTGGGGGTCCCCGCCGGCCTGTCCCGGAGCACTAGCGGCGCCCGAGCCTCGAGAACCGCCGGTGCTTTACGACGAGGCAGCGTGTCCGGAATCGCTGGCAGTGGAGCTGAGCCCCTCGTCTCCGGTTAGTACCTCCTTCCCGCGCAGGACTCCCTCCCGGCGCCGTCGTGGGTGGTGCTACCTGCTGTCCCCGTCCCCGGCGTGCAGCTCCCCCTGCGGGGGCCACTCCCCCTGCGGCACCCCCACCGGCAGCCTGGCCCGGTCTGCATGCTGTCGGGAGCAGCTTAACTGGTGTGCCCGGGGCGCTCAAGCGGGGAGGGGAGGGAGAGGACACGCAGGGGACAGGGTCCTGTTCTCCGCCAAAGGTCCCCTGAGAGTGGAACGCATGAGCGCGGACACCCACCCTCAGCGGCCAACGCGGACGATAACCTGTTCCCTCTCTCTCCGCAGCTCTTTCCCGGCGACGTGCTGGCCCTGCTGGAGACCTGGATGCCCCTTTCGCCCCCGGAGTGGCCGCCGGCCTGAATAATTGTAGTGACGACGTGCAGCTGGCGCCCTGTCTGTGAGCATCGAGGCCTTTTTGGCCTCGGCACCTTCAAAACGGCCCCTCTCCCGACTCCTTTCCTGGGAGGGGGCCCCTGCGGTACCGGCGTCCGCATTCCTGAGAGTGAGAGCCTGTCCCCACCCAGGACGGCCCTCCTCAGCCCCTCCCGCAATGGAGGGACCCATAGATAGACCCTCGGAGGCCGGCAGGGGTGCCTGCCTAGTATGTATTTATTTATTTGTGAATAAACTCTGTTGGTGTCATTGACCGTTTCTTCTTCCTCTACTTGGGCACAAAGCTCCCCTCCCCCCCAAAGAAGAACCTAGGAGAATCAAGAGGGTCTCTTGCAGTCTTCAGCCCTCCAAGCACACAGGCTCAGGCCCTTTCCTCCTTGCCCCCAGCCCTGGCTTAGCATCTCCTGATCCGGGAAGGTCAGCCTGGAAGGGGGAGGTGCTGCATATGAGGACGTGGTAGCAGGTGGAGTCTGCCCATCTTTTCTTTGAACCTGGTGGGATCTGGGTAAACCTAAGTATCTCTGCAGAAAATACATTTCTGTTAGTACTTACTATGCGTCAGGGCCTTTATACATTGTGTCACCAGATAACCATTTTACAGAAGAATAAACCAAGGATCGGCACTTAAGCCCTGATACGAATTCATATCAGGGCAGGGTCTGAGGGGACACCAGCTACCAAGGGCTTATTTCATGTGTCCCAAGCCTTTTCTCCCCTTGTGCTAGAGCATCATGGCTTGGACCTTGGGATTTTCTCATCTCCCTTCACTCTGGTTTCTCTCCCAAGTGGTTTAGGGACATAAACTAACATCAGTGAGTCAGTGCCGGGCTCATGTAACTGTGAGCTCCTAGCGGCCTAGCTAGGGTGGAGGCTCATGGGGGTTGCATCCAGATCCACACAGCTGACCTGGAACCACACTCCTGTCTACACTGCTGGGTTCTGATCAGGGACACATTGTATGGGGAAGAAGAAAGCCTTGACCCTAAAGGAGCCTGGCCTCGCTCAAGGGGTCTGGGAAGCAGTCAAGCCTTGGGGGGAAGGTGAGATGGGGCTAGTGGATGTAGCCTCTGCCCAAAGGCCCTCTGTGGATGGATACCAAGTTCTCCCCTCTCCCTCAAGCATCTTTGAAATACAGGCCTTGGTTTTTATTTTTTATAAGAGCTTTATTGAGATACAATTTATGTATCATAAAATTCAACTTTGTAATTCAGTGATTTTAGTGTATTCATAGAGTTACGCATTCATCACCACTGTCTAAATTGAGAACATTTTTTTAAGATTTTGACAGAGAAAGCACAAACAGGGTTGCTGCAGAGAGAGAGGGAGAAGCAGGTTCCCCACTGAGCAGGGAGCCTGATGCGGGGCTCGATCCCAGGACCCCGGGATCATGACCTGAGCCGAAGGCAGAAGCTTAACGGACTGAGCCACCCAGGTGCCCCTAAATTGAGAACATTTTCATCACCCCCAAAAGAAACCCCGTGCCCATTAGCAGGCACTCCCCCGTTATCCCATTCCCCCCACCCCCAACCCAGCACACTCATCTCCTTTCCGTCTCCATAGATCTGCCTGTTCTGGACATTTTGAATGAATGGAATCACACAACATGAGGCCTTTTGTGTCTGGCTTCTTTCGCCTGTCATAACATTTCCAGGGTTTATCCCTGTGGTCTCCTGCATCAGTACTTCTTACTGCCCAGTGATACTCCATTGCACGGACATGCCCCGGCTTATCTGTTTAGCCGTGGATACTGATAGGTTTGTTTGGAAACCACCTCAGAGATCATTTCCAGTGTTCGGCCCGGCCGGGAGGCGCGGTAACTCAGAGCGGGCGGGCGACACTGCTGTGTCATTCAGTCGGCCAGGCGCACCCTGGCCAGCATTTGGCCGCGGAGAGTGGGATCCAAAAGCAGAGGCTCTGCAGGGGGGCAGACCTCACACCTCCACCGACCACCCCCTTTCCCACACCTCCCCTCCCATCTTGCTTTCCCCTCCCAGGACCCTAACCGGAGCAGAGTGGGAAGTCCTTTCCAGGGGCCTAGCCAATTTAGAAAATCTGTTTGCATGGCAAAGGCCCTGTGGTTTAGGATGGGGAATTAAAGTTATTAGCAAGTCTTTTCACAGATAAGTGGGGCTCATTGGCCAGCGCCCTCCCCTGGGGCGAGCCTGGCCTCCCTCTCTCGGAGCCGGGAGCGGCCCAGTGTTTATTAGCACCTGGGTGTGAATTTTCATTAACACGTCTCTGCTAATAAGACAGAGGACCGGGCATGGGAAGGGGTCTCCTCGCACCGCTCCTGCGCCTGCGCCCCCTTGCTGGGCCAGTGCTCCCCGCACCCGATCCGAGGCACTGGGGCGGCCAGCGGCTTCCAGGTAGATGAGAGCCTGTGCTCTCTCGGTTCTCCGCCCACCAGCCTGTGAGGGCGGCCAGCTGGTGGGGCCGTGTTAAGGATGGGAACGTGCAGTAAGGAGAGGCTAACGAACGCGCCCAGGCAGATGGTCAGGGGCAGCGTTGGATGGGGACCCGACGGGAGTGCAGCTTCCCCGGGGTGCACACACAGCTGAACACCAGCCTGTCTCGAGGACGAGGACGAGGGTACTGGGTGGTGCCCCCCCCGGGGGCCCTGGCAGTGGGGGGCGCGCGCCTGCTGGGAGGCGGGAGCCGGAGGCCGGCATCAGCACGGGGTGCCCCACCGGGCCACTGGCGGGTGCTGCCTCCTCCTTGGGGAGCTGCTTTCACGGCTGGCCGGCTCGGAACCCAGCGGGCGCAGGCCCACGGAGCGGCTCCCGCCAGCCAATCTGGGTGGTAAGGGCTTTAAATTCAGCACCGGACCTCAGGTCCTTTGAGCCCGGGAGCCGCAGGGGAGGTGGGCAGGTGGGTGGGCTTAGGCCTATTTTACGGAGCGGGACACGGAGCACAGAACCCGGGGAATCGTTCACAGAGCTAGTGCCTCGCCGTCGGGGCGGGGACAGCGGTGGGTGGTGGTTGACACATCAGGTCCTGGCAGGCGCGTGCGTGCGTGCGTGCGTGCGTTGGGAGGTGCAGAATGAGGGCCCTCACGCTCCTTGGCCGCCCATGCGATTGCTAGGAGGGAAGCTGCTTCTGCTTGCTGAGCAGGGATGTTGATCCCGCTGAGAAGGCTGCACTGTGTGGGTGCTGATGCCGATGGGCCACATCCTAAGGAGGGGCAGCTAAGCTGATGGTTTTATAGCCAAGACATTTATTTACTCAAGGATATGCTACATGGGTCACCATATGAACCCCGGGGGGGAGGAAGAGGGCAGTGGTCATGGTTGTCTGTCAGCGGTTGGGAGGGGATAGGACTGAGGCTGGGCCAGGCCTCGTGTGCCTGGGTGGTGCGTCTGGAGGAGGCTGAGCCCAGATGTCCCTCTGGCCACGTGTTGCTAAATAAAGAGGGCCATCTGAGGGGCACACTGATGCGCCAGGCTTCTGAAACAGCCTGTATCTGGAGAACCAGGGTAGCACAGGGCTGCGGAGGGCAGCTAGGCCGAACTGCAAAGCCCCTGCTTATCCCAGGGCGAGGCCAGGAGCCACCTTGTCCACCCCACTCCCCAGATGTCATCCCTGCGTTTGCACAACGCTGAGCGTGATGCCTCCTAACTATGGCACCTTGGGCACTCCTTTGACTCACACTACTTCCAACAGTCCCCTGAGAAGACCCAAGGTTCTCTTTCTTAGAGAGAGAGAGTGAGCACACTTGTGTGCCAGCAGGGTGGGTGAGGGGGAGAATCTCAAGCAGACTCCCCCCGAGATCATGACCAGAGCTGAAATCAAGAGTTGGACATTTAACTGAGCCACCCAGGCAGCCCGAGGAGACCTAAGGTTCTTGGTCCTTCTGAGGGGTTCTGTCACCCAGTGGGCAAGGACCTCTTTTGGGGACCCCTGGCACCGCCCGCTCAGCCCCCAGTGGCGCACCAGCCCTGAGTGGGGCTAGAGCCGTGGGTCCCCCGCTCAGCGCTGCTCAGGCCTCTTCTGCCCAGCCCTGGGTCCTCTGCCCTCCTCCCCTCCTGGCATATGAGGCTCCTTGTGAATGCCCCACCTCCCCTCCCCCCACACACTAGGCAACGAGGTGGCCTGGGCGGGCAGGGCATGACTTTGGAGAGGGGGGGCAGGGCCAGCTCAGCACCCCTCCTGCCTTCTTCCCATGTGACCTGGCATTTCCCTGTCTTCAGACGGCTCTCCCCTCCTTAGTTTGGGTGGGCGTGACCTCCATGTCCCTCCAGGGATGGGCCCGTGTCACAGGCCTGCACGGTCAACCCCTGAGTGCTTCAGGAATGTGACCACACTCAGACCAGTGAGAAGCAGGCTTCGGACTTTGCTGGAACCGTCCAGAATGGGACACTGGCTGTGGGTGCTGTTGCGGGTCATGCTGCCAGCCAAGCAGAGGGCCTCCCTTTTTAAAAAGGGAACCAAAACCGCCATGGAAAGAGAGTGCTGATGTTCTCCCACACCTGGACCCAGCCACGTGGAAAGCATCACGCCTGGATTTTTACATTACATGAGCCAACCCGGAAGTTCATTTGAGTTGAGTCTCTGACACTTGCTGTTGCAAAAGTCCTTTAGGACTTGACACAGGCTGTCCCAGGCCGTGTACCCTGAGCCTCAATTTCCCTTCTGTGAAACGTGGATAATGATAACCTCTCCATTTCACAAGGTTACTTGAGGCGCACAGGTCAAGCCCACAATCACAGTAGTGGCCCCTAAACGTTCGTCCCCTGTCCCATTTGGGTGGTGTGTAAGGCCACGGCCATCATCCTAAGTTTTCCTCCCTCACCGGAAACGAGAGTGGCCCCCGTGCGTGCCGTCTGGAGGAAGAGGGTTGTTGTGAGAGTCGCAGTTGCTGCCCGGCTCTAGCTTGCCCGGTAGGAGGCCGAGGGGCTGAGTTCCCGGTGGGGGGACCTCTCCGTCCAGGGACGTCCTGCGGTCAGTACCAGCGCCGGGAAGGAGGTGTCGTGGCAATGAGGAGCGTGTGTGACCCCAGGGAGGAGAGGGATGGGGGCACAAAGGGAGCTGCCTGTCACCCGCCTGCCGGGATCCGGGGACGCGGGGACGCGTCAACCACCTGCAGTTGTCAGACGCACCACACGGTGTCCTCGGAGAGGCAGGCGGAGGCCCTGAGGGGGGGCAGCCCTCCATCCTGTGCTCCTGGAAGGGCCGTTTCCAGAAGAGAAAGGCACCTCTCTGCCCCCCTCCTGTCCTCCGCCCCACCCCCCCCCCCCCCCGGCCTCCTCTAGGGTTCCAGGCCAGCCGTGGTACAGTCCCTGCCTGCCACCTCGCCTCTCAGGCCCCTGTGACCTCAGGCAGTGCCCAGCCACTCTGAGCCTCAGCCTCTCCGAAGTGACTCCAGAAAGGTCATGCGCCGGCACAGAGAGGGAGAGGAAGTGGGTGGGGAGAAAGGGGGCCACAGAGTAGCTGGGGTAGCCTGGGGTCTTGCTCATTTGAGCAAAGTGACTCTCCTGGGCCTAGAAGGCGAGGGGTCCTCACAAGGCCCGGGACTCTGCCTGAAACCATTGCCGGGGCCCTGCTAGGGTCTGGCTGGGTGGGAAGGCAGGGCTGCGCACCACAGCAACTCTGGAGTCTGGAAACAGTATCGCTGTTTATCGGGGTGACACATCTGCCCATCTGAGGGCTCTGACAAACGGCTGAAGGTTGAAGGCTCCCCAGATCATACCTCCGCCTTGCTGAGGTCCCAGACGGCCAGTCCAGCAGGCCCCTGGGCCTACTGAGCTGCAGCCCTTTGTCACCGCGTCTCTTGCCATTGGGGCACCCTGGGGTGAAGCGGGCCTGCGGTCAGCCTTTTCACAGAGCCCAGGGCAACAGCCCAGTCACTTCCTGAAGTTCTCTCTTTGGAGAAGCAAGGAATATCTGCGAAGGCGGGTCCAGTGCTCCTGCTCTTTCACCTTCTTCTCCATCTTCTGGAACCTGTGGGCCACATAGATGGGGATGAGAGGAAACCGCTTGGTGCCATCTGCCCCCCACCCCTCCCGCTCCTAGGTCCCCGGGCAGCCCCTGACGGCCCTGTGCTAAACTAAGAAACTCTCCAAATGGCACATCCACTGCCTGTCTGTGTCCTCAGGACTCAGCCTGGCGCACAGCCCGCCCTCGGAACCCCTTTACTGCCTGACGACAGGGCCGGCGTCCTCAACCAGGAGGCGCGCCCCGACAGAAGTCACCGCGCGCCGGGGGGCTCACGGTCCGTGTGCGTGGACCACTGCGATCCACGTCACAATGCCAACATGCCCAGTGAATAAACACTCCTTGAACATCTACTAGTGTCACCAGCTGGACCCCAAGCCCTGACCTTGACTGCCCGCCTATTTGTACCCACCGACCTTAGGCCCTTCTTTCCAAACAGTTTTATTTACTTTTTTTTTTTTTTAAGATTTTATTCATTTGAGAGAGGGAGATAGCGAGACAGAGCACAAGCAGGGAGGAGAAGGAGAAGCAGGCTCCCTGTTGAGCAGGGTGTCCCACGTGGGGCTTGATCCCTTTCCAGCGTATCTCTTAACTCAGGCAAAAGACCCAAGGGGCACAGCAATCGTGATTGAACCCGAAACTACCCCTCAAGCAATAACATCTACCCAGAGACTTCCGGAGGCCCAGGCCACCCAGACCGGTTTGAACTTAACCCCCAACTCACGCCTGCGCACATGGACCATGGAGTGACCCACGGAGGGACCGACAGTTACCTTTACCTCAATATAATACTAAAATCTCCACCTGAGGAGGAGCAAAAGCCTCGTTTACATAACAAACAACCTATGTGCAGGCATGTTTCCTTAAGGCACACGCATGACCCTGTGCCCACCTCTATGTACCATGACGAGGCTTCCCTATTTAATATTCATCCTAACCCTCAACCAAAGGAACCCATTCACCCTTGCTCAGGGAGTCCCGGCTTTGGAAGTTATTCCCCGTGATCTCCTCGTTGGCTGCAATGTGTGCGACAGCTCGCCTGGTGTAGTTTCCCAGTGAACTCACGTTGGTTTGGTTACACCAGTGACAGGCACAGGCGCTGCAAGTGTGGGAAAGACCAGAGTGCCTAAAACAGCTCCGGTCCCCCCCCCCCCAATGTCTATCACCCAGCCACCCCCTCCCCCCCCCCCCCCCCCCCCCCCCCCCCCCCCCGGTTTCCTAAGGGCGACAGGAATGAAAGAAAGCTTGTAATAGGAGGCATGTAAATGCCACCGAGGTCAAATGTAGGAAGGAGTAAGGTTCCACCCTGCCCGGGAGTGCTCCTGGGAGATAAGGCGTTTGAGTTGGGTCTCTTACAGAATAAGAGGTTAATTAAAAAACAAAACAAAAAACCCAAGTAAATGCACTTCAGTAGAGGAGAGTCAGAGAAGTCCAGGAGTCACCCCTCATTCTGCAGGCAGAGGTGGCCGCTGGGAGCACGCAGAGGATGCCTTCGATCTGGGGAAGGGGTGTGGGCTGCTGGCCAGGCTTCTGCCTGTGAGCACGGAGGGTGTCAAAACGCTGAGGGCAGGCAGGAGGAGGGCTCCTTCTGGGGAGAAAGGCAGCGATTGCAGCTTTGGATTTGTTTGGAGGCTCTGCCTGCCAAGGGACGTCCACACGGAGATGTATCTGGTACTCAACTGACTCACTAAAACATTTTTTCACTTCAAAAAGTAATCTATCCTTTGCTTTAAAAAAAATCAAAGAATCCAGGTGGATATACAATTACAAGCAATCTCCCTCTCACCGCAGATCCTGGTTTTCCGTTCCCAAGGCAACCGTAATTAACAGCTCCTTGTAAATCCTTGGAAATTGTTTATACACGTATAAGCATAGACGTGTATGATTTTATGCCCATAAAATCTTTTTTTTTTGCCACACACTGTTGTACACCCTGGTGTTTGCACTGGAAAAGTATCCTAGAAATTGCTTCTAGGTGGCACTCACAGATCCGCCACCTTCTCTTGCCCTATCGAGGACACTCGGGGCTGCCAATCTTTTGTTAATGCCTTCCAGGCTGCAGTGAGCGTGCGTGCGTGTGTGCGGGAGCGAAGGGGAGGGAGGTGGCAGTGTGTGCGGGTTACACACTCAGGCTTTGAACCCAGACTGCGTGTGCCTCGCTTACAAGCTGGTGACCCTGGGCAGGAGATTTGCCCTCCATCAGCCTCAGCTTCCTCGCTGTGCAGTGGGGACAGTAATGACAGTAAAAAATAGCACCTGGCACACGTAGGTGCTCAGTACATGTCAATTATCATAATACTTCTGCCGCTGATAAATTAGTGGAAGTGAAATTTCTGGGTCAGGAGGTCAAAACCACAGGGATGGCTCAGTTGGTGGATGGGTTGTAAGTTTGAGCCCCACATTAGGTGTAGAGATTACTTAAAAATTAAATCTTAAAAAAAGAAAAAGTGACCATCCAAGAGGCAGCTGAATAGATGGAATGAGGGCCAGTTTTATTTATTTACTTATTTATTTTAAAGATTTTATTTATTTATTTGGCAGAGACACAGCGAGAGAGGGAACACAAGCAGGGGGAGTGGGAGAGGGAGAAGCAGACTCACCGCTGAGCAGGGAGCCCGATGCGGGGCTCGATCCCAGGACCCTGGGATCACGACCTGAGCCGAAGGCAGACGCCTAACGACTGAGCCACCCAGGAGCCCCAAGGGCCAGTTTTAAAAGGAAGCCTGAAAATAAAGCCGTCATGTGTTAAGACGTGGGTGATTTTCAACATACACCGTTGGTGTGGAGATGGCCTTTCTCTATGATCTAATGCTAAGTAACGGCTAGCCTTTCCTGCATGTGCCATAATGTCCCATGCGGAGATATGGCTGCCACTCATTTCATTTCATGCACGAAGACACTGAGGCCTGTCCCGTCACACAGAGGCCCCCAGTGTGTGTCCCGGTCCTACTGCACAGCTTGCACCCTGAATTTGAGGCTCTTTATGCCCGCCCTTCAGTGAAGCCTAAGGGAGAAGGTGGAAAACTCCAGCTACGGGACCCTCGAAACTTCTGTTTGGCTAGATGAGCAGCCATATTTGCTCCTACCTAAAGACAAACCAGGAAAAAATTATTCATAACACACTGGCACAGAACTCTCAAAATCAAAAGAAAATGAACTCACGCTTGGGAAAAAGATCCAAGGCAAGTCAAGGAAGGAGAGAGAGAAACGTACATTATATGTAACAAAAAGCTGCTCAATCTCCTTCACTTCCTAATGAAAATGGGAATGAGCTATCAATTCCTTCTTGCCCAGCCCCTGGCTCCCTTGGCTGTGGACCTGGTCTGTTGGGTCACCCCAGAAGCCCACCTTCTGACAGAAAGCTGGCTGCGGAGAACCCCCAGTCTTGCTGGGCTCTGTATTCCACAGGGAATAAAGGGAACGAGAGACAGAGAGGAGAGAGACATAGAGAGGAAGGGACACTCTGTTTCTGTCTGCTTCCTGGTGTCCAGAAATTTCTGTCTTGTGATCAAGTTTGACCCGGCCGGAGATGGCAGACTCTAAAGCTGGGCAGGGAGCCAGGAAATGGTGCCTGGAGACCGGGGCTGGAGGAGAGCAGAAGCCAGGCCTCAGGGAAGGGGCGGCGGGGTGGGGGGTGGGGGCACATATTTGGTGCTAACTGGCCTCCTTTTAAAGCCCCAAAGGCAGGCTCCCTTTCGCACTGGCTGTTTACAAAAGTCCCAAGTGCAGGTTTTGTGAAAACAATTTGGACAGATTATTGCAAGTCTGAAACTTTGAATCGATTGCCACATAAACCCATTGCCTTGAAATTTCACCTAGTTTTAGGGCCAATGGAAGCTGTTTCAGACATGAGGAATAAAAAGGGGAGAAAAAGATGAGATTAAAATTTGGGGGACATATATGGGTATGTGTGAGAAACAACAATAGGAAAATGTTAATGACAGAGTCTAAGATGGTATGTGGATGTTCAGTGACTTTTTTTTTCTCAAAGCTGCTGTATGTTTGAAAATTTTCAAAATAAGGGGCGCCTCAGTGGCTCAGTCGGTTGAGTCCAACTCTTGATTTTGGCTCAGGTCACGATCTCATGGTTATGAGAACGAGCCACATGGAGCCTGTTTAAGATTTTCTCTCCTTCTCCCTCTGCCTTCCCCCCCTCCACCCCATGTGCACTTTCGAAAGGGAAGAAAGAAAGAAAGGAAATTTTCAAACTAAAATGTTGGGGCAGGGACTACTCTTTGGGAAAACCCCAAGTACTCAGTTACAGTAGTAAGTTCTGCTTGAAGCAAATTTCAGGGGCTAAGTAGGGTTCCTTCTGCGGGTGTCTGAGTACTAATCTCCACTTATACCTTGTTTGAGGGTGGGCCTTGTCAATCAGGGACTAAGGCAGCCTGAGTTGGCCGGACCCTCTGCTGTCAGGCAGGAGGTAAGCCTTCCAGTACTGGAAATGTGGGGCTGGCGGGGTCCATTCCCCCAAGTGGGGCAGCCAGTTGGCTTCTGGGTCAAGTGGGAAGGGTCACCCTTTCTAGGCCAGTAAAAGAGGGGGTCAGACTGAAAGGCAGAAATGGAAACAAGCTCCTTAAACAAGGAGTTCTCTGGGTCTCATCAAGAAAGAGCTCCAGATATTATTCAGCCATCAAAAAGAATAAAACCTTGCCACTTGCAACGATGTGGATGGAATGAGAGGGTATTATGCTATGCGAAATAAGTCTGAGAAAGACAAATACTATATGATTTCACTCATGTAGGATTTAAGAAACAAAACAGATGAACATAGGGGAAGGGAAGGAAAAATAAAATAAGATGAAAATTGAGAGCGAAGCAAACCATAAGAGACAAACTCTAGGAAACAAACTGAGGGTTGCTGGAGGGGAGGTGGGGGGATGGGGTAACTGGGTGATGGGCATTAAGGAGGGCACTTCATGTAATGAGCACTGGGTATTATATGCAACTGATGAATCACTAATTTCTACATATGAAACTGATTTTAAAAACTTAAAAAAGAAAGAGCTCTAGAAAGCTCCATGCCAGGACCTCCCCCGAGGAGAACAGTCACACTACAGCCATGACCTAAACTCATACTCTTGACTTTTTTTTAAACCATTATTTTAAATTTTCCAAAATAACATATTATTTTTGTAGAAAAGCTGCAAGTAGGGAAAACACAAAGAAAAAAAATCAGACATACATCATCACCCAAATACAACTACCATTATTATGGGTATACACACTTCCAGTCCTTTTTACTCAAAATCAGGATTATACTGTAATATTTTATAACCTCTCCCCATCTTTTATTTAGAAAAATTTCAAACCTACAGAAAAATTGCAAGTAGTACAATGAACCTACACCTATAATTCACTACCAGTGAACATTTTGTCTGTCTCTCTTTCTATGAATATTTTCCTGGGTTTCACTTCACATTTTCTCTTTCTCTCTCTAAACGTTTTCCTGGCCTGCTTGAAAGTAAGTTGTAGACTTCATGATGCTTCGCCCTTAAATTCTTCAGCCGCATGTCCTCAGAACGAGTCAAGCCATCAAGGGTTAAAATAAGAACCCTCGTGGGAGGAACAGCCAAACACTCTTGGTAAATCTTCAATCAGGAGAAATGTCTACTGACCCCTTCTTTGCTGTCCTCCCCCAAGACCTACAGACCATCCCCCTCTCCTGAGGAATGGCCTTGCTTCCCTCCCAGGGATGCTGAAAGCCACCAGGCAGCCCACCAAGCCCAGGAAGGAACCGAGTGCAGCAGGTAAATGCTGTCATGGGGGCCGTGGCGCCACCTGGCGGTGGTGTTTAGAGTTTCCCGGGCATGAACTGGAATTAACCCAGCATCATTCTTGGACCTACCTGTAGCCAGCACTTAACACGTATTATCGCTCGAATACCTACAAAATGTGAGGGCCAGGCATCGTCGACGAGTCCACAGCACAGCGTGGTGCACCGTGGGTGTTGGACAAAGCTTTTTGGAATTAACGAGGAAACTGAGGCTCTTGGAGGTTAAGGGACTCAACAAGGTCTCAGGGTTAGTAAGTGGTGGCGTCGGATTTTAGACCTGAGAATCCTGGCCATTCCACTTCATTCCTCTGGAGGCAAGAGTAAATAGCAAAAGGGGGAGTGGTCATCAAGGGTTGTTACATGGCCAGGAGAGATCACAGAGTCCCAGAGCGGACACTACAGAAAGCCCTGGAAGGGAAGGGGCCACCAGAGTCCCCCGCTCTGTCATGGTGAGAATCCAGGGCTCCACTCGTGACCCCATCCCGCCTAAAGTGTATGGTCCAATCACGACACAAATCATCAATAAGAATTTGCAAGACGCCAGAAATTTGTGGTAGATAGATTAGAAGAGGCACCTGCTTCTCCAGAGCGGACAGAGTACAGCTCACGATGCTTCTACAGCAGAAAGGGCTTCGGACAGAGTCCCGGCCGGACTGGGTCAGTGGAAAGGGGAGAGACGCAGGACCTAACCGTTTGTCCAGATGATGGATAAAGCAGAGGGGGCTTGGACCAGGGGCTGGCAAAGTTTCTATAAATGGCCCAGGTCAGTGAGGCGGGCCTTATGGGTCATCTGGTGTCTGTGGGCGGTGCTCAGCTGCAGCACAAGCAGCCATCCGTAAACCTAACAAACGGGCCTGACTGTTCCAGTAACACCTTATTCCGAGAAACGGGCACAGCCCCTTATTGGCCAGCCCCTGTCTTTGATAATCCAAATATGATTTTCAAAAAACCAAAGAACTGAGAAAGCAGAAAGCAAAGACAGTCTTGACAAGGAGAAAACAGCCATTGGCAGCCCTTCCTTACCAGCCTGAATCCACTGCTGAATCACCAAGCTGAACGGGAACGGGCTCCGGGGCTATGACAGGGTGGGGTCCCCCGCTGAAGGGGGAACCTAAATGCTGGACGGATCTTACTATCAAACACACGCCACTAGTCCTCCACCCAGAGACAACCCCAGCTGCAGGGATGGGAAGCAGACCCAGGACTCTACCTCTTCTGGAGGAAACTCTCGCATCTTTTCTCCAAGGGCAGCACCTGGGCAAAGGCCATGTTCTCTGTCATGTCAGTTTCAGGAATGGTGTGATTTCTTGAGATGTGTTCCAGGAGTGGGTAGGCCTCGAGATTAAAATAGAAAACAGAATTCTGGATGTTCTTGGTGTCGTCGGATTCAATTTCATCTGGGTGGTCTCCTGAAACGAGAGAGCCGCGTGCTGTGGAGGGATGACCTTCTCTGTGGGCTGGGCGGGCGCAGGGGGGCTGCTCTCTGTTTGTAAAGGCTGGGTCACTGGGACTGAGCTGTGGGGGGCTCACCTGATCTGGAGCAGCAGGATTCCAGAGAGAAGACCTTGCCTAGCGCTTTAACTAAGTGCCTAGTGAGGACTGAACTGCTGTGTCCTTTTGGCTTGTGGTGTGGGGTTGAAGAGCAGGGAAGAGATCGGGCGGCATCACCCTGTGCTTTGGGAGGGGACAGAGAGTGTCAGGGAAATGGTCAGCAGGCCACGGGGTCCCCCTCCTCTACCTCGGAGCAGGAAACACGGGTGTTGAACAGACACGGCAAACAAGGGCTTCCAGGGGACCGCCAGATGGTAGGTTCTGGGTAGAGCAAAGGCACAGATGATCTGAGGCTTGGCCACATCCATGAGCTGTACAGAGCCATTCTTGCCGAAGATCAGCAACTGGGAAGCAAAGAGATGGTGACGGGGACTTCTCTGTCACCTCCGTTTGGAATGAGAGAAGCAGCTGGCCATAACAACCAGCAATAGAACTGGTTTGCTTTCAGGCCCCCAGAGCTGCTCAGGGAGCAGAGAAGTGTGTGTTTACTACTCTGGGGGCCCCAGCAGCAACAGGCCCTCCTCCAGGTGCTGGGTCTGATCCTCTGTGGTGCGTCCCCTTCTACCCTGGCTTCTCTTCTAGTTCACCAGCATCCCCGCTGCTGGGGAGCTGGCCCTGCACATGGTTTCGGTGCTGCCTCTGTGCACAAACCCTTTTCTCCTGTCCTCGGGGGCCCCTGCTCAATCCAACGGCCCCTCCTGGCCTGAGATCGGAGGCAAACCTCCCTCCTGCCTGGGCTCCTTCCTCCTTGTAGATGAGCACGCTAGACGTACCCCAATGCCATCGTCTTCCACCTGCCACACCGTTTCCCCTCCCCCACACTCAAACGTCCGGCGCCTGTCCTTGCCCTCTCCACCCCCTCCTGTCACGGCCCCCCAAAGCAGCCGCCCCCCCGCCAACTTCCATAGGCTGTGGGCAACCCTCTCTCTGCTCCTGGCATCCAGTGCATCATGCCTCATGGCCTCTCTTGTCTCCCATGGCAGCTGCTCGGCGATTCGTCTGTCTTCCCAGCTGAACTGTGCACCCCAGCAGGGCAGCGACTTGCCCCTTCATCCCCACGTAGCCCAGAGCTAATCTAGTGCCTAGCACTTGACAGGCCTTCAACACATAGTTTTTGAAGGACAAATGACCACATTTATTGAAGAGGAGAGAGGGGCATGAGGAACCTACCATGCCGGGTAAGGCTAGGACCGGGGCCACTGCACAGATGGCCTCATCCAGGTGCTTTATAGGCCTGCAGGAAACAAGACACACAGACATTCATACTGGAAGTGTTCAGGCTGTGCTAGCCTCTGCTGGGCATACATCCCAGACACACTCTTGTATATAAGCACCAGGAGACATGTCAGAGACTGTTCAGAGTAGCAAATACTGGGGACAATGTGATTGTCCACTGGTAGGAGCATGCCTCGTTGTGGTCTATTATATGACAGGCTGCAGTGCTGGTGGGAGAATAACTGAGCCGCATTCCCCAACATGTGCGACTCCCATGAACAAGGTCGCAAGGTATAGAAGAAAAAGCGCTGAGAAACAAGCTGGAGAATACATAGGACATGATTCCATTTACAAATTCCCCAAATATGCACAGCTAAACGATAGGTTACTTGGAGATACAGGTGGTTAACTCTTACAGGAAAGTGAAGGAATGATGAATTTTGGAAACGGATATTATAGATTGAAAAAGAAACTGGCCTTAATATTTGGCAGCAACTCCTATCAAAAGGTGGAGTCAGGGGCGCCTGGGTGGCTCAGTTGGTTAAGCAACTGCCTTCGGCTCAGGTCATGATCCTGGAGTCCCTGGATCGAGTCCCGCATCGGGCTCCCTGCTCGGCGAGGAGACTGCTTCTCCCTCTGCCTCTCTCCCTGCTCATGCGCTCTCTCCCTCTCTCTCTGTATCTAAATGAATAAATAAAATCTTAAAAAAAAAAAAATTAGGGGCGCCTGGGTGGCTCAGTCGTTAAGCGACTGCCTTCGGCTCAGGTCATGATCCTGGAGTCCCGGGATCGAGTTCCGCATCAGGCTCCCTGCTCAGCAGGGAGTCTGCTTCTCCCTCTGACCCTCCCCCTCTCATGCTCTCTCTCTCTATCTCATTCTCTCTCTCAAATAAATAAATAAAATCTTTAAAAAACAAAAACAAAAACAAAACAAAAGGTGGAGTCAAGGGGCGCCTGGGTGGCTCAGTCAGTTGAGCATCTGACTCTTGGTCTCCGCTCAGGTCACGGGCTCTCGGATTGTGAGATTGAGCCCCGCTGCTTCCGGCTCCTTGCTCAGTAGGGAGTCTGCTTGAAAGATTCCCTCTGTCCCGCCCCCTCCTTGCGCACACGCACTCTCTCAATATAAATAAATAAATCTTAAAAAAAAAATGTCTTAAAAAGAAAAGGTGGAGTCAGTTTTCCCACTGCTTGACTGCAGGTGTTGTCACGTGACATGCTCTGTCCAGTGTGCCATGAGCAGAGGCCTGGAAAGCGTTTGTGCATTGCTTGCTGAGGGGACCCCTTAGGCTTCCAGGTGATGGAGGCTGAGACAGCCCGCAGCAGTCGCCACAAGGATGAGAAACAAGTGTCCTGGCCAACGGCCAGCTATGTGAGTGAGGCCACCTAGGACCATCCAGCCCCTGGCCGAACTGCCTGCTGCCTGAGGCACACATGAGAGCCTAAGCAAGACCAGTGGAGGAGCCGCCCATCTGAGCCTCGCCCAAATTGCTGATCTACAGGATCAGGGGGTCCTGGGCTCAACAGTGACTGTTTTCAGCCTTAGCTGACCTGGAGATGATCTATTTTTTTTAAAGATTTTATTTATTTATTAGAGAGACATAGTGAGAGAGAGCATGAGCAGAGGGGAGAGGGAGAAGCAGACTCCCTGCTGAGCAGGGAGCCTTACACGGGGCTCGATCCCAGGACCCCGGGATCATGACCTGAGCCAAAGGTAGACAGACGCTTAACCGACTGAGCCACCCAGGCGCCCCTGGAGATGATTTATTGCTTAAGCCTGTACAGGGGAGTTTCTCGCTCTCTCTAGAGACACACACACACACACACACACCCTGTAGTGTATATAGACTGTACATCTACGTGTATACATATATGGTATATATATATAGATACACCCTAAATACACACACATACATATTCTATAGATCATTTGCATGCATAAAGTATTTCACAGTTTAAAAAAGAAAGAGACCCTTGAGGAAATGGATAAAAGGCTATTTTGGCAGAAATGATCCTCTTCTTGGTCATGAAAGGTGTCATTTGCGCCGTCATACAATTTTGCGAGACAAGTTTTACATATCTATCCACGTATAAAAGACAGTGGGGACCTTGAGAAGCTCACAGGGAGGGTGGCGGCTACAGAGCAAGTGGACTCCTGCTGGGGAGGTGGTCAGTTTCCTATTAGTCATCTGGTTGGCAGATCATTTACCCTGTCCTGCGCTCAAGCCACCAACCTCTCAACAAGCACGCTGATGGTGGGTCCTTGGGTCCTTTTGGCTGTCACCAGATAGAGAGAAGAATCTGTGCACAGCACCACACATTTCATTTGGGATTTCAAGGGACTCTCAGGGTACATGTTCTGTCCTTTGTGGACTAAGAAGTACTTCAGGAAGTGAATGCTCTGGCAGGAACATCCCTTGGGAAGAGCGATGACCCCAAGAGGGAAACCTGGAGAAACAATCGCAAAAGCAGGTCAGAAAAGTAGGTAGAGGATGATGCAGCCATGGGCGCAGGGTCTGTGACTAGCAGGTGTATGAGGGATGTGAAGGCAAGATCCAGCAATGAGAACCCTCTGAGAGTGAAACCAGAAACCCCAATGCCCAGTGGGAGAGAAGAGCCCCCCTTCTGAGTATGGAGAGGTGCGGGGGACAGGGAGGACCAGCCCCGTGGAGGGGGGGCAGAGTCAGCACTGGGACCGAAGAAAGGAAGCTACACCCAGCCAGTCCTGAACCGCAGCTGACCATGGCGGGTCAAGGTGCATCAGAGGGGGCGAGGGGTGGGGTGGTCTTAGAGAAGGAGAGGGAGATGTGTGTGTAGCCAAGCAATATCCAGAATGTATCAATATCCAGAAAAATGAAAGCAAGCTACTGGGCAAGTGAATGTGCAATTAGGATCATTCTTCTGCTCTTGACGTATCTTTAGCTATTGTAAGAACGCTGTGGGTGCAGTAACTCAAGTTCAAGAGGGCCCATAGCCATGTTTATCTTTCCACCATGTGGGCAGAGTGCCTGCTATCGGAAACAACCATGGAATTCTTCAGATGGAAATAGGGGCACCTGGGTGGCTCAGTCAGTTAAGTGTCCGACTCTTGGTTTCGGCTCAGGTCATGATCTCATAGGTGGTGGGATAGAGCCACGTGTTGGGCTCTGTGCTCGGTGGGGAGTCTGTTTGAGGTTCTCTCTCTCCATCTCCCTCTGTACCTCCCCTCCCCCCCACCTCTCTCTCTCAAATAAATAAATAAATGGAGACACTCCTTTAGATTCTGATCAATTTAGGGCAACTAGACACCACTGATTTTCTCCACCTGCAGAGCTGGACCCAAGACCCTGGGGCCCGGGGCCTCTAGCAAGGTGCCACACACCCAAAATAGCTGCTGGTCTTGCACTGGCCACCTTAGAGGTCTCTTAGCTTCCACACCAGTGAGGTTCTCACTGACAAGGGTGGGGGTAGAATAGCAGGAACGCAGACTTGCTTATTTTGAGAGCTTGAGGGATAGGAGGGAGGAGGGCTGAGGCTGCCATGATCCCACATCCTGGGCTGGAAGACACTTCCTCACCAGAGTGTGATAATGAGGTAATGGACAGACTTCCAGGCCCTGGTCCGGTGCCGGGTACCGAGCAAGCACTCAATAAATCCACAGGGGATGGGAATTATCAGCACATATTAAGTTCAATAAATGTCCAGCGAATGAGTGGATGAGGAGAAGGCAGGACCAGCTCCCCAAGCTGACTTAAGAACACAGAGTAACTAACAGAAGGCCCAGAGCCTATAGGAATTCCAGAGTTCCCGGACTCTCATTATCCAGAGACCCACCCAGGTGTTTGGCAGAGATGGGGGGCTCACCTTCGGCCAGGTCCCACAGCGTGAGCACGCCATCCTCACAGGCCAGCACTAGGTAGGTGCAGGTGTAGCTGAGCTGGGAGACCGCAATGGGTGCAGCACAGGGCCAGACGCCCTCCGGGTCTAGTGGGGAGGACACCACGTGCTAGGCTGCCCCCACAACCCCGCACCCACCCATCACCTCCACCTGCACAGCCCGAGACCCTGACTAGTCTGCCTGTCTGGGATGTGGGCAGGAGCCGCTGTCTGGGCTCACCATCTCTCTTGCCTCTCACCAATGCTGCCTCCTCCCTCAGGATAAAAGAAGGGGTCATACCAGTATTCCACTGCAGCGAACACTGAATGAGTGCTCACGAGGTGCTGAGCACTGTGGTAAGCGCTTTACATGCCTCCTTTCAGTTAATTCTCACAAGGGTCCCATGAGGTGAGTCTTAGTAGTACCCCTATTTCACAGATGAGGAAACTGAGGCAGAGATGTAAGCGACCTGCCCAAGGTCCCAGCCAGTCAGTACAGAGGTTGAGATTGGAAGCCATGCTGCCTGGGAGAGGGCTGGAAGGAGAGAGATTCTTCCTTTGTCCATTTTTACATTTTACTATACTTGTAAAGTATAATTCTGAAGCATAACATAAGTGTACAGCTCAAGGAATTACCACAAAGTGAACTTGCTTACGTAACTGCTTCCATGAGTTTGTATAAACCAAACAACCACCATGTTTCCAAAGTGCCTTCAATCTCAAAGAGCGTTCACATCCAGAGACCCTCTGGATTTTGCTATGCGTAACAATTGCGAGCAGTGGGCAGGGATGGTGTCATGAACTAGCTCTGTGTTTCAGATGAGAAAACGGGACTGGGGCTCTCAGTGACTGGCCTGACAGCACACAGCGTGCAGACCGTTGGGCCGGGGCTGGATCGGGCCTCTAATGTCAGGCCTCTGTTTACTTGAGCTGCCAAAGAAGCCTTAGGGACCTGACCGGGCTTTGTCCCTACTGACCTGTTCTCTTTAAGAAACGGGACCGTTCAGAGACAGGGCCTTGCGCCACCTGTCATCCAGGCACTGAGCCACCTGCTTCAGTCTGCACAGCTCTCATCCCCTAAAGTGACACGTCAGTCACATGCCCTCAACTAAGCTGGAGAAGGACACATTCTGAGAGCCCCGAGCTTAGGCAACTCCCATCTCAAAGTACCGACTTTATCCTTCAGAGTTCGGTGAAGCGAATAGAGGAAGAAGTTGTGACTTCCAGCCCAGTGTATGCCAAGGACACAGGCTACCCCTGGGGAAGAAGAGAGAAAGAAGCATCACATAAGGAATCTGGGTACCCTCTGGTTTGTACGGAAAGTGTTTGCCCAAGAGGAAGTCGTTTTGCAATCAAAAGTGGTCAGTTCTAATGGGCAACAGGCAACAGAAGGACGCGCCTCCTGGGTGGGGGGCACCCCTGGGAGGGCTGTTCCTAGGGCCGAGTCACCTTCCCGGGTTGGGAGGACGGTCACACTGCCCCTTGGCTGCTTTCACATTTTCTGGATAATTCACGTCCTCTTGGCTGTCGGTGTTTTAAATAACCTTTTCTCCAAAATGAATTTGTGTCCAGAAGCAGCCTGGCGGGCTACGTGCTCACACCCTCCTCTGTGGCCCGTCACTCCCCGAAGACAATGCCAGCCTCCGTCATCAGGGAATCTGGGTGCCGTGCATCCAACCAGAAACAGTTACGCTCCAGCTGTGAAGCTGACGACCCACTTTCCGCCTCATTCCCTCCCACACACAGGGTCTGCTGAGGCATTCCCTCAAGTGGATCACTGCCAAGGATAACTCCCTGTTTCGTGTTCATTTACCTGAGGGGCCCTTGACTTCCATTGGCATTGTAATTATGCTGCTGGGAAGGAGGAAATGGAACGTGGCCATGCTGGGGAAAAAAAGAGACACCAGTCAGAGCCCCGGCAGACTCCTTGGCCAGGAGAGATGCTGGCAGAGTCTTGGTACTAAAACCAGACACGGGTGTTTAGGATGGACCTTCCCGGGGGTACAGGGCCATGAGGTCAATCACATTCTGCGTGCTGGTCCTGGTGGCTGCAGACCTTGGAAGTTGGTGAGGGCCAGGCAGGCTGAGCTGGGAGGGTCACTCCCAGGCTGGAAACAGCACCCACCACCGAGCAGAACTTTCTCTGTCCTAGGGAAAGATCCCTTAGTGACCAGACTTGGCTCACTTATGCTGGGGGAATCCAACCAGGGGGGTGCTAATAAATTTGCTCTTAAGAAAAAAAGCAAACCAATTTCCTGATTTATAGTTTGCTTTTACAAGAGCTTCTTGTGGTAGAAAGGCTCCCACTACAGACATTGAGGGCAGTTTAACAACTAGCCTGCAAGACTCCTAACTACCCTGGTAGGCAGTGTACCCCTGAACCTCGCTGGGTCCCGGTTCAGGTCTTGCTGGTTCATGGCAGCTGCTATGAGGGTGCAACCCTAGGAGGCTGTGTCCTGAAGTGAGAAAATTTGAGGTGCGCTTGATAGCAAGATGTGAGGCCTCGCTTCCCGCGTGAAGCAAGAACATTCCTTGAGGTCCAGCATAGCTGTGAGGAGAGCTAGTTCCTAAAACCAGCTCCACCAAGTTCAAAGACGGGCTCAGTTTCTACAATCACAGCAGGGGGATCTTGAGCTCTACCTGCTGCCGGAGGTTACAAAGGAAGGTATTTTAATTATACGTTAACCTATTACATTTAGAAAGACTGGATGGAAATTGAGGAAATCTGAATAGTGTGACTTTTATTTCTCTCTTTAGGATCTTCTGTGTTGTCTAGATAATCAGGAAAACAAGTTTTTAAGACATGATGTGCATAAAATTGTAAAATAAACTCATCTGCATACATGTCTATCCCCTCTTTGAAATCCGTGTGATCAGCCTCTGTTCTAATGTATTCGAATCATCTCCACACACCTTTCCGAAAGATCTGCTGAAATTCTCGGGAAAATCCCCCAAACTGGGAGGAGCTTTTAGACTTCGGATGAATTCGAGGGCTTGGGTACATTGCTGCATGTGCCCCCACAGTTCGCGGGGAGCGGGGTGCCCCTGCGGCCTCTGCCCGCTCACCTGGGTGGCTCCTCTTCCCACTCCTTGTCCAGGTACTTCTCGTGTGGTGCCAGGAAGATGGCCGCCAGCTGCTCCCACTGACTGTCCTTGATGAAGTGGTTCTGCCCCGAGCCCAGCCCGTAATAGTCCTCTACCTTTGCGAACACTTCCAGGGGGCTTTTAAATGTGGTACCTCGGTTGAAAAGATTCCAGAATTGGTCAAACCATGGGACTTCCCCCTTCCTGATTTTCCCTCCTTCCTCCATGCTTCCTGGTTTCCTGTGGAATCCCTCATCCTCAAAAATCCATCTGGGAGCCCAGGGTTCGGCCTTCTCCCTGCCTCTTTCCGACCCCGGCTGCTCAGGGAGCACAGGCAGCTGCCGTCCCTCTTCCTGCTCCTACAGCCCCATCCCACCACCACTTCCTGTTTCCGGATTACGGGATCCGCAGAGGAGGCCAAGGAAATGTTCAGGAGGTCACTAGAGGCCTCAGACCACCGTTGCCGTCCTCCCAGCTCAGCAAGGCCCCAAACCTGCCAGATATGGTCACTACTGAGCCACTGCTGAAGGCCCACCTAAGCCAACAGTCCTGCCCCCTACCTGTGTTTACATCTACCCAACTACCGTCCTTCAAAAACCTCCTCTCCGCCAATCACTTTTCTTACCACTCCACTTCCCCTGAAGCCTTTCATTTCCTTCTTTTTCAACTGTTCCTAAATCCACAGTAAAACTGTGGATTTTTCTGGGTGCCCGCCCCAGCTTTCCGAACTCTGCTCTCTTTGGAGGGTGCCCAGGAAGCCCCGCAGTGCCCCAGGCCCCCTTCCCCAGAGGCAACCAGAGGCAACTGGTTTCTGGAATTCGCTGCTACAAGGAGACCCCTTCTGTTTTAACAGATGGTAACATATGATACACTGGTAGTTCCCGGAAGTGTGGTCCCAGATCAGCAGGGATCCGGCAGGCTCAACCAGAACTTGTTAGAAATGCAGATTCTTGGGCTCCACCCCAGGCTTAAATGGAAACTCTGTGGGTGGGGCCCAGCAGTTTGGGTTCTAACAAGTTCTCCAGGCGAGTCTGATCCCGCTAACGTTTGAGAATTGCTCTTAGACACTAGCACTCTTGCATTTTTCACTCACAGTAGCTTGGAGATCTCTTCATATCAGTACTACAGAGCTTCCTCATTGTTGCTTGTTTTCATTCACTAAGCCTTTTTCTTATTGTGAAATATAACACATTCAGCAAAGAGCATAAAAAATATATATCTTAATAAATTCATACAAGGCAGGGTGCCTGGGTGGCTCAGTTGGTTAAGCGACTGCCTTCGGCTCAGGTCATGATCCTGGAGTCCCTGGATCGAGTCCCGCATCGGGTTCCCTGCTCGGCAGGGAGCCTGCTTCTGCCTCTGACCCTCCCCCATCTCATGTGCTCTCTCTCATTCTCTCTGTCTCAAATAAATAAATAAAATCTTTAAAAATAATAATAATAAATAAATAAATTCATACAAGGCAAACATCTGTCTCTACTCAGGTCCAGAGACAGGACATCATCTGCTCCCTAGAAGCTCCGCAAAGGCCTGTCTCCAGTCACAACCTCCTGGGAAGAGCAGCAACCACTCTCTTGGCTTCTATGTAAGCACCGCGTTACATTTATTCTACTTCTGCTATCTAAATGTGCATCTAAACACGATAGCTTTGTTTGGCCTGATTTTGAACTGTATACACAAATGGAATTATATACGGTGTTAACTCTATGTCTGCCCTCTTTGGCTTAATACTGTTCCTAGATTTGGCCATTTTGTTGTGGATAGCTGTAGTTTATTCCTTTTTATCGATAGTATTCCATCAAGTGAATGAATATATGACAGTTTCTTTATCTGCTCTATCGTTGATGGACATTTCGGTTGTTCCATGTTGCGGGCTACTGAAAAATCACGCTACTGTTACCATTCTTGTATGTCTGTAAATGCCTGGTGCACATTTACTTGTAAACCTATCAGGTATATACCTAGAAGGAGGGGGACTGCTTCACCCTGGTTTGCTCAGGAGTTCCCTAGTGTTAGCACTGAAAGCCCCACATCCCAGGAAACCCCTCAGCCCCAGGCAAGCTGGAATGGTTGGTCATACTGCCTAGGAGTGTAAGCACTGGGTCTCAGGGTATAAATTATCATCAACATTACTAGATCATACCAAACTGTTTTCCAGAGTGATTGTACGGATTTTCATTGACACCGTGTATGAGAGTGTATGGTTAGTCCACACCCTCACCAACTTGGTACCGTCAGTCTTTTTCCATTGTTGCCATCCTGGTGGGTGTGGAGTGGTAGCTCATTATGGTCTTAATTTGCATTTCCCTGCGGGCGCCTGGTTAACTCAGTTGGTTAAGCGACTGCCTTCGGCTCAGGTCATGATCCTGGAGTCCCGGAATCGAGTCCCGCATTGGGCTCCCTGCTTGGCAGGGAGTCTGCTTCTCCCTCTGACCCTCCTCCTCTCATGCTCTCTGTCTCTCATTCTCTCTCTCTCTCAAATAAATAAATAAAATCTTAAAAAAAAAAAAATTTGCATTTCCCTGATAACTAAGGATGCTGAGTACGTATGTTCATACGTTTATTGGCCATCTGAATAATCTCTTGCCTGTTTTATACTAGACTATCTCTTTTCCTTAATAAGTTGTAGGAATTCTGTATATACTCTTGATATGGACCATTCATATGTTTTATGTGTTTTGCAAATATCTTCTCCCACTATGTGGCTTGCTCTTTCATGCTTTTAATGATGTCTTAGGGTAACTAGAAGTCCTTAATTTTAGTAGCCACATTTATCAAATTTTTCTTTTATTATAAGTGCTTTTTGTGTTTGTTTTGTGTGTTTTGTTTAAAAAGCCTTTCCCTACCTAGAAGTCATAAAGATATTGTCTTGTATTAATCTTTCAAAGTTTTATTGTTGGGATGGCTGGGGGCTCAGTTGGTTAAGTGTCTGTCTTCGGCTCAGGTCATGATCTCGGGGTCTTGGGACCCTGCTTGGCGGCAGGGCAGTCTGCTTCTCCCTCTCCCTCTGCCCCTCCCCCCACTCGTGCTCGCTCTTGCATTCTCTCTCTCTCTCAGATAAATAAAATCTTTTAAAAAAATTCAAAAGCTTTATTGTTTTCTCTTTCCTATTTACTTCCGTGGTTCAACTGGAATTTATTTTTGTGTATGGCGTGAGGCAGGAGTCAAGTCTCACTTTTGTTTCCATATGGACAAGCAGCACCATTTACTGAAATGACCATCCTTTCTCCACTGCTCTGGAGTGTCACCCCTCAGGTATCAAGTGGCCACTAATGCCTGGGTCTGTTCTGGCCTCTCTATTTCATTCATCTATTTTTCTATCTTGTCTTATTCACTGTATCAGCTTTATAATAAATCTTGATGGAGCATCATCATGTTCTTTTTATGAGAGTGAACTGGATATTCTTGGCCTTTAGAATTTCCTTCTTTGTTTTTAATGGTTGCAAAATATTCCTTTGGATGGGTGTACCAGATTTCATTTAACTAGTTTTCTGCCTCTATAAATACGGCTGCAGTGAACATTCTAGATCTTTGATGTCTGGTGCAGATATTGAAAGGATAGACTCTGTCCTCTGCCTACAATGGACTTCTCCTTGGCTCCTCATGACCTACTCCCACGTATCCTTCAAAACCTTCCCAAATGTCCCATCCTTTGATAAAGACTTTGCCTCTCTGTGAGCAGAGTTAGTCACTCTTTCCTCTATGTTTTCATGGTCCTAGATGTTCCCCATGGCTGCACTTATCATATCCTACAATGCTGGTTTCCTCTTACTCTTCCTTGGTAGAACTGCAGCTTTTAGAGCACAAGATGTGTCTTACTCATCTGTGTGCTTGGTGCATTACTGGCACTCAGCAAATACTGATGAATGAACTAACACAGGAATATAGAAATGAATAAACTCCAGCTAGAAGTCTGTCTTTCCTGATTTCCCAATTCTGTTAGTTAGCTGTATCCTTGTAACATTTATATTTTTTTGTCTTTAGATCCCAGAGCTTATGACTTAAAAAAAATTTTCCTTTCAAAATTATACTTGTAATTTAGATATTGCTGCTAATAAATAGAAAAGATGGGAAATGTAGAGAAAGGCAAAGAAAGAAAAAACAGAAATTAATAGCAGAGGGAAAGAGAGTGTTAGTTGAATTATACTAACCTGTAATTGGTTTGGGTGGTTTGATCTTCATTATGTGAACTGGAAGACTCAGCTTAATGTCTCCTCTAAAACAAACGTTCATATCCTACGATAAGGAAAAGGCACAGCTAATAAGCCAACAAAGGAGATATAACAGAACCATTAAAAACACATCCAAAAGAAGACAGGAAAAGAGGGGAAAGAAAGAAAAACAGGTGGAACAAATAGAAAGTAAATAGCAAAGTGATAGTTTTAAATCCAAACTCATCAACAACCACATTAAATATAAATGGCCTAACTACCCCCAATTAAAAGGTAATTGTATAAAAATTGTATAAGAAAGTAAGACCCAACTACATGCTGTCAAAAAGAAACTCATTTTAAATACAAAGACAACAATATATTTAAAGTATAGGAAAAGATACATCTTGTAAAACTAATCAAAAGAAAGCTGGGGTGACTATATTAATATCTGACATAATAGATTTCAGAGCAAAGAATATTACCAGGGATCAAAGATTCACTGAATAATGATAAAATGGTCAATTCATCAAGGAGACATAACGTTCCAAATGTTTACGCACCTAAAAACAGAGCTTCAAAATACATGAAGCAAAGACTCACAGAAGTGAAAGCAGAAATAGATAAATCTGTAATCTTAGAGATTTGAACACTCTCCCAATAACTGATAGAATAGACAGAAAATCAGAACGAATATAGTAAGGATATAGAAGGAAAAGCAGTAAAGATATAGGAGACTTAAATAACTTGACCAACAACAGCTGAATACACATTCTTTTCAAGTGCACATAGAACAGTTACCAAGATAAACCATATCCTGGGCACAATACAAATCTTAATAAATTTAAAAGGTTTCAAATTATATGAAGCATGTTCTCTGATCACAATGGAATTAAATTAGAAATCACAAAAATAAAGATATCTGGAACATCTCCAGTATTTAGACCCTAAATAATATGCTTCTAAATAATTCCCTGGTCAAAAAATAAATCAAAAAGCAAATTAGGAAGTATTTTTTTCTTAAAATAACATCAAAATTTAAAGGAAGCAGCTGAAACAGTACTTAGCTGTAAGTTTATAGCACTAAATGCCCATATCAGAAAAGAAGATCTCAAATCAATGAACTAGCTTTCTACCTTAAGAAACTAGAAGACAAGAAAAAACTTAAACCTGAAGTAAGCAGATGAAAGAAAATAATAAAAATCAAATTGGAAACTGGTGAGATAGAAAACACAAAAAATGGACACAAAGAAATGAAACCAAAAGCTGGTTCTTTGATGAGATTAATAAAATTGACAAACCTCTAGCCAAGCTGATTAAGAAAAAAAGAGAGAAAACACAAATTACCAATATCAGAAATGGGGGCACTTGGGTGGCTCTGTCAGTTGAGTGTCTGACTCTTGATTTTGGCTCAAGTCATGATCTCAGGGTTGTGTGATAGAGTCCCCCATTGGACTCCGCAATCAATGGGGAATCTGCTTGGGATTCTCTCTCCCTCTCTGCCCCTTCCCCCCACAGCTTTCTCTCTCTCTCAAATCAATCAATCAATCAACAAACAAACCAATATCAGGAATGAAGAAGATGACATCAAGACAGATTTTACAGGGGTGCTTGGGTGGCTCAGTCTGGATTTAGCTCAGGTCTTGGAGCATCTTGGAGTCATGGGATCAAGACCCACCTCAGTCTCTGCATTCGTCATGGAGTCTGCTTGAGTTTCTTTCCCTCTGCCCCTCCCTCTGCTCACTCCCCCCCTTTCTCTAAAATAAATAAGTAAATAATCTTTTTTAAAAAACAGATTTTACAGATAATGAAAGGATAACAAGGGATTACAAACTACTTTAAGCCAATACATTTGACCTTACATAATATGGACAAATTCCTTAAAAGACACAAAATACAAAAGTTTGCTTAAGAAGAAAGAGATAACCCTTTGTCATCAAGACATCGAATTTGTAGTTCCACAAAGAACACTCCACAGCTAGATGGCTTTATTGGTTAATTCTATCAAACATTTAAGGAAGAAATAATACCAATTCTACACAAACTCTTCCAGAAAATAGAATGGGAATACTCCAACTTATTATACAAGGCCAGCATCGCCCTGATACCACAACCAAAGATGTTATAAGAAAATAAAACCGGGGTGCCTGGCTGGATCAGTCAATGGAACATGTGACTCTTGATCTCAGGTTTGAGTTCAAGCCCCACGCTGGGTTTAGAGATTACTTAAAAATAAAATCTTAAAAAAAGAAAAGAAAATGAAACATATCCTTCATGAACATAGATGTGAAATTTATTAAGAAAATATTGGCAAGTTAAAATTGGTAAGTTGGATTTACGAACAGTTTCTTTAAAAAATAAAAAGAAGGCACACATAAATAACATTAAGAACAAGAAAAGAGACTAACTTAAAAGACAGGTTTTTATTTTTATACTATAGGAGAAACATATTTACACATATCTATACCTATATATCTCCACTAATAAATGAATTCTGACTGAAATAGGCTCAAAAAATATTTTTAATTTTGAAATTAAAAAGATAATATAGGACTTTTTTAGACCTAGAGGGTAAAAAAGGAAACATCCAGCCTTCTTTACAAGGCTAGCATAACACTAATATCAAATGCTGATAAGAAAACCACAAGGAAAAAAAGTTCTACAAGCCAGTCTCATGTTTGAACATGGATACTACCCATGAACACCAAACTATCATTTTGGTCTGCTAATATCTTACTTAGGACTTTAATATTAGCAAAGCAAACTGACAGTGTAGTTAAATGAATTATTACCAAGTATGCATTACCCAAGAATGGAAGGAAGAATGTTTCAACATTAGAAAATCTATTAATGCAATACACTACATTAGCAGATTAAAGGAGAAAAACTCCTCTCAAAAGATGAGGAGGAAGGATTTGCTGAAGGTCAATATCTATTCCTAATTTTAAAAAAAAACAACAAAATCTTAGCAAACAAAGGCTAGAGGGACACATGCTTAACTCGATAAAGGATATTTATGTCAAACACCTATAGCAAGCTTCACGCACAATGGTGAAGCACTTGGGAGTGTCCCAGTTAGGTCCTGGGTAGTGTACTATCACCACAACTATTCAGCATTTTACTAGAAATCCTAGAAAATAGAACAAGGCAAGAACAATTAGTAAGTAGGAGGAATAAATACTTGAAGGAGGATAAGTTGTCAGTATTTACAGTTATGACTGTCTATGATTGTCTGGCCAGAGAATCCAACAGCGTCAGCTGACAAACCATTAGAACTTCAGTAAAGAGGCCAAGAGTCCTGAGACTCAGGTAATGGAAGTGAGGCACCCAGGTATGAAATTTAAGGAGGCACTCACTCTTAGGTGCTCACCCTGTGCTTGCGTGACCCTGACAGTACCTACGTTTTGCTGACCTCACCCAAATACAAGATCGACATACAAAAATCAGTAGCTTCCCTGTGCACTAGTGCGGTGGACATTTGTCATCCTTTTGGCTATCCAGCCCTCAATACGCTTCCTACTTTGAGGGGGCTCCCCTACTTGTGTGAGTCTGGAAGAATCAGTCTCCCTCCAAGGAACTGAAGGAGCCAGATTCTTCTTCCTGTCCCTTGGAATGTTGGGTGTTGACACATGACCTACACTCAACCAGCTGTGTGTTCCTGCCTAAGACTGTGACTCCTGAGGAAGGGACACGGAGATCTAGAAACAGTAGAGAAATTATTTATAGCAGAGGTGGCCATGTCAAGAGCCCAGTGACAGAGCCATCATGGAAAGCCCAGCATCAGCTTTGGTGGCCATGTCTCTTGGGGGTGGTGACGTTCAGGAGTGGTGGTAGTGTGGACTCCTGGCTACGGCGTTTTCACTGCCTACCCTCCCTTGGTTCCTTCCAATTTCCTGAAACTTGATATCCTTCCAATTTCTTTGCTGCAACTAAGGACCTGATGAATACTGATACAGCCGTGGACTGGCAATAACTAGCTGGAAAATATAGTTGGTAATGTGAACATATAACATTTAACACCTCTCCTTCCTGAAACCCCATTAAAATGACAGAAAGGTGCTTTTTCAAAAGGGAATAAACTCATAAGGAATAAGAGAATAAAAAGACAAAGCAAGAAAATTTTGAAGTTGGAAAGCAGGTGGCTAAATGATTTAGCAGACCTAAGAAAATCAGATCTGAACCAGTAGGGGAGAAAGCCTGGGAGCCATCTGATTTATACCACAAACACCCTAAGACTCAAGAAAATGTCAGCTCCAGGTGTCTCGAGTGGAAATGCCAGTGGGGCCAGCAACAGGACTGGTTGAAAATCTCTTTAAGAAGCATTTAAACTCTTAGACTCCCTAACTCCACGCAGCCAACAGAATGAAGTTAAAGTTGACATACTGAACATAGAAGTCACCCCACCCCACCCCCAAGGTGTCTTCCCCACAAGCCTCTGCAACTCAGGTGCGAGTAGCAATTAAATAGGCACCCAGCACCTGCTTAGAGCAGGGGCCCCACCCACATCCTTCCCTGGGAGCTACATCCAGCATGCAGGCATCATGCACCATAGCTTTTGACTCTGTGAACATCTGTGAGCATCTGTACTTCATGTCAATTTATTTTATACATACATTAGCAAGATGTGTTCTAAGGTATCAGAAAAGCCTAAGAGAGGTTATTTTGGGAGTCTGGGAATGCTCAAAAATTTTTCCATATAAGTTAATGCTAATTCCTCCTTCACTTTACACTTTTGGCTAAGAAAGGTTTCATAGGAATCCTCTCCTTTCAGATAGCAGGAGAAACCTGTGCTGTCCCAGACACTGACATGAGTGTTTTCCGACACTAAAGCCCAGTTGGGGCACTCTTTAGAAAAACCACAGTCAACCAGCCCCACCCATGCCCAAAACACTGGCTTCCTGTCAGTTTCCCCGTGACTCCTACTCTTATGAGTAGAGAGCCAAATACCACCAGACAAGTGAGGAGAGCATCTCTTCGGAAAGCCAGAGACCAAAACAAATAGGAAGAAAAAAGCAATTTGGGGAAAAGAGACCATCCATGGAGAAGAAACACCAACAATTATTATAAATGTTTTTAGGGAAGGCACAGTATTCATTAAATAAACAATCAGAAAAAAAGGGAGGCTCTTGTAAATGAAAGTATGATAGCAAAAATGAAAAACTCGTGAATTGTGCAAGACTGTTGAATCTCAGATCTGTACCTCTGAAACAAATAATGCAATATATGTTAAGGAAAAAAAAAAAAAAAGAAGATAGCAGGAGGGGAAGAATGAAGGGGGGGGAAATCGGAGGGGTAGACGAACCATGAGAGACGATGGACTCTGAAAAACAAATAGGG